TCCAGGGGAAGAAGTGGATCCCCTCAGCCCAGAGATGAAATGTTGGGCTTACCACAAGACTCATCCTTCATGTGGCTGTTTCCCAGGAAAGCCATTGCTCTTCCCTTATCCTTGACCAGCTCACATTTCCAGCATTTTCCAGGAGAGACTGAAGGGAAACCCTATCTAGGCTGAAGAATAGATGATTAAAAAACTCCCCAAACACATTTTGCAGGGCCTGAGTCCAGCCAACACGGTTCAATGCATTAAAAGTCACATATTTCAATAGAAACACTTAAAAAAATAATCATAACCACAGCGAACATGACTGAGAAACTGCCAGATAAAACAACTGCAGAGAAAAGTGAATCTGATTTAATTTTTTTTGGGGGGGTTGAAGCAGAAACAAACACAAGGACAAAGACAATGAGCTATAAATAAGCAGACAGGGTGATCTTGGGAGTTATTAGTAAAGAGTACACATAAGGAAGCTCCCCCCCCCGCCCCAAGTGATTCAAATGCGTACTGCACTTTCATCTACTGTCTGAAAATGGGAACTATCATTTCCTACCTACCCTCTCTGTGCCGCTCATGCTTTGTGCGGCGCGCTCACGGGGAATCCTTAGGAGTCCATCGCGTGCTGTGCAAGTGCTGCGGAGGGGAAGCCTTTTAATGAGACCTTTCCACTAGGAAGAGGAAAAACAGACAATCCTGGTGTGAGTTATAACTCCAAAGGACTCACCGTATTTCTGAAAGGCAGCAGATCTCCAGTAGCGATCTCGGTACAGAGCTGTTATTATGTATGGAGACAGGGTAGAGGAAGGAAGTCAGAGCAGATTAATAATTTACTCCTGCCTCAGAGCTGTTTAGTCACACTAAATCAGCAAAAGCCTTCAAAATAAAAACATCACAATATTGCAGGCGTTGCCAAATTACAAAGGAGTTGCCTGTGCCAGCAGGAAAGTGCTTCTCTAGTTGATCCGTAAGGTCGTTTGCGCCCGTGCAGAGGATGCGAGATGTCTCAACCCCCTGCATGGTAGCGCTGGGCCCTCAGCAGGGACGGCAGAACCGAGCACTTGCTGCTGCTTTCACTGCTGCCACAAACGCATCCTCGAGCAGGGCCAGGCAAACATCACAGGGCAGAAAACAGGGCGATGCTGGTGCTGGTTCCCATTCCCTCCTGCCTGCCCTGCAAGAGGGCCAGTAGGACGAGGACAGCCAGCCAGGCACGCTACTGGCAAAATCAAGAGTGGCAGATAAAAGGTGAATAGGAAATGGTTACTCACTGCCTCTTGTGACACAAGAGATTGGGTAGAAAGCAAAGTCATCAGACAGGCTCAAAACAAACAAGAGGCACTTCATAGTCTGCGGCTGAGCCTTGAGTCTCCTTGCCGTAAGAATTTCAGATGCTGGAAGCCTATCTGAGCTCAAGTGAAATTATATTAAAGGAAGAAAAATCCAAAGCTGCCACCTCTTACTCATAAAGTCTGAGCCACAACTTGTATGAGGCTTCGGTAGTGTCACGTCTGCTTGTGCTTCTTATTCCTCCCAGGCACACACTTACATCCAAAAACCGAACAGTGGGGTTGGGTGGACCTTGCTCTGTGAAGAGCGATTACGCTGGATCCAAATGCCTTTTGTGCAGGAAGACCCAGAGGACCACTGTCAGCTCTCCTGCTCTACAATTCAGACACCAGACTAAGGGTCCACCTCGCTTTTCCACACCAGGACCAGGCACTGTCCACCCATTCTGCCATGTCCCTGTTGCTCTGCACGGCAGCAGCCAAGATGCAGGGAGATCCTGGGGGAGCACCGGAGCCAGGGAGCTCCTGACTGCCAGAGCTGGCACTTCACCTCTGGTTACTCGTCTTCCCTGAGCTCAGCCTCATGGGATGTGGCCCCAGCTGATGCCTAACCTGAGCCCACACAAGCTAGTGCTGGGCAAGGCGAATGGGGCTGGCTTCTGCAAATTTGCCTGCTTGCTGCGGCCGTGGAACAGACCATATCTGCCAGGGCTGGAGGGAGGAGGAGGATGGGCAGCAGCTCGCAGGGGGACCAAGGCAGGAACGTAAAGATGGAGGCACTGGGACCTCTGGCTAATGCTGTTGCCTAATGCTGCACTGATGCACAGCCTCAGGCATGACCGAAGCCGCTGGTCCTGCTGCAGGCTTTGCAGTCCCTCGAGGCTGTGTTCGGGACGGCTGCTCTCACAGGGACAGCTTAGGTTTGAGGGAATAAAAGCACTATTTTTCTGCTCTTTAAATCTGCCACTCTTTTGCTTTCAGGAGACAGGACCAGACTGACAACCAGCAGCACCCAGGACGGCTGACGCAGACGGCTGTTTCTTGTGCAACAGCACACCTCGGTGTTTCCCCAGCTCGGCTTGCCTCACCAGCTACGTTAGCATGGGATACTGCATCTGAACAGCACGGTTTGACACGGCGCCGCTCTCTGCAAGCCAACAGGGCCCTGAGCTCTTGCTGCTGCCCTGGAAGCAGCCCCTAGGAAGGGGCAGGCTTGCGGCTGCCCAGGCAGAGGCCATGCTTGCCAAAGAGCCCCTGACACAAGTCACAGGAACCATCACAGCTCCTGCAGGGATGCTTTCCCAGATCTTTTTCACAGGATGCACAACAGCACGCGTACAAGCGGTCTCCTGTAGCCATGAAGGACCTTAGAAGCTGCATTTCCAGGATGATCACAGCCCTTACGTTAAAGTCGAGTGCTACAATTAAAAATAGGCGTGCTTTGCCAGTGTTTTTACAGAAAAGGAAGCAGGGATTGCATGAGCCAAGACTAGGACCAGGAAATCTGGCCTAATTCAACAGCAACCAGGCCTAATCCAGGCTGAAAGACAGCATGCAGGTAGGTAGCTGTAGTCATCATGATAGATTTATATTGCAAAACTGGAAATGTATTTTTAGCATCGAGCCTGGAAAGTGTCTCTTCAGAAAGAGATCGAGCATGCCACAGCAGGGTCAGTATGGGATTTGCAGAGCACAAATACAAATACAGAAGGACTGCTGGAGTGACTTCATCATGTCATTAAACCTTTCAGGATACCAGCCTCATTCTTGCAGGTGTAACAAGCCTAGCACAGGTGGGATTAGAAAACCTCATCCCCAGCCTGCACCACGCATCTCAGAGCCACACCACATGCTCGTGGTATTGCTTGAACCCAATGGCTGAGTCAGCAAAGGGAATGGAGCGCTCCATCAGTGCTGGATGCACCCACTGCCTTCCCAGGGAAAGACCCCAGCAACCTCCCCATCAACCTGCTCCTGCCCTGCTGTGAGGCAGCACACTAAGAGCTGCCCTGCTTCTGCTTTGGAAAACAAAACAAAACAAAAAAAATAGGGCTTCATTAGCCAGCTGCTGCCTTTTACCAGTGTTAAATCCATGCAATTTCCTACAGCTGAAAAGCAAATTAGCTCATTGAATCACCTGCATTACACATCACACACAAGAACTGTGCAGAACAGAGCAGCCATGCACAAACCAACTGCAGAAAGCTGCCTGCTGATTTCCAGTTGCATTTCTGCAGATCTTCACAAAACTTTACGGCTAAAAAAGGGTCTACGCTTGCCTCATTTTCCATATGCATTCCCTCCTCAGTTCCACATACCTGCGGTGGTCTCCCAGGGAACAGTCCTGTCCCATCTGCTGGTTGCATCATTGACACCTCCTTCCATTCAAACAAACTTTGAAAGCAGATTAAGGCCACAGATCTCCTTTGGGGCTGGTTTTTGCAGGTACAAGGGGCTGATGCAGGCTGCACACAAGCGGAGCTGTAATCGCCTCAAAGCCAGCGTGGTGCAACCTCTTGCACTTCTCCCAGCTCCCAAATTTGTTCAGAAGCAAAGGCATCACAGTTCAGAGTGCTTCAGTCAGCTGGTTGAGTCAAAGGGATCATTTTACTTTTAATCTGACAGACATTTTACAGTTTACAGAGCACAAGACCTTCTGTTTAAATTGTTTATTAAAGAATAGAAGCCCAGAGGGGAGCTCAAATAGCGAGCCGCAGTCAAAGCTACTGCTTTCAGTTAGCTTGCACACTGTATGGAAATTGTTCCTCAAACTACTCAACCGCTGCTATCCTGCTTTTGACAGTGGGATTTCTGTGTCTCAGGCATTTGAATGGCCATGTTAATCCCATTTTTAAATGAGCAGAACAAGCCCAGCTTGGGTCAAGAGAAGTACACAACAGGCAGAGAGCGCAGGGCAGACTCTTAAGGGTTATCTTAGCATAACGCTACCCAGAGAAACAGCTGGTTCTGCTAAGACTACGCCACCTTCTGTCATGTTTTGGTTTTGGGTGGGGTTAGGGGTAGAGAAGTATAATGAAAGGATAAAGTATCATCTTAATGGGGGAGAAGCTTAACGATGGTTACATGCTGGGCATGAACCTCTCTTCTTCCCCTCTACAGTCAGATGTGCGTGCACCCAACGGCACCATTGGCTCCACATCAGCATCCAGCTGTGCCGCCAACACGGGGCAAGTACACTGCTTTCCATGTGTCTGCTACCATCCCATTCTCAATCTGTTTTCACAGTTCATCTTTATATTGCTCATACTGCTTTGCAGCTTTCACCATGTCCTTTTCTGATTTTTCATATACCCGTAATCAACAAGATCGGGACCAGAGAAGAGGCGTCAATCCGATTTTGTGGAAGATGAAATCAAGAGCTCTTGACGTTTTACAGGAGCCCAGCTACTTGGTTAAAGTTTTTACTTACATTTCGTTATTTGTAACTTAGTCAGGGAAGAGATCATTTAACTATGTCTTTTGAACAAGAATCTTGCCTTTGTCAATGTAGGGTTAAATATAAAACACATTAAAAAGGTCACATCTGAAAGGAGCCATTCAAATCCATGACCGGGATAGCATGCAAACTCTTTACAGTTGCTTCTTTTTTGTGATGTTAATCCACACGTGCAGAACAGACACCTTGTATGACAGCAGAAGGGCCACTCCAGCCCCCCTTCCCATCTCTTGGAAACAAAGCAACAGACAATCCCAGAATTTCTATTTTTGAAAAGTGTTTACTCACGTAGTTTGAATAAATTAATTTGCAAATAAAAATTAAACTACAGTATACTATAGTTTGAATAAAATGATTAGAACAACTACAATACAGGGATTTCTTGCTGCATAAGTTTCATTACTTAATGCATATAATCTGGAAAATGTCAAAATCAGTTATATTTCTATGGAAAGGGAGTAACAGCAGTTACTTGTACATGACAGCTAACTGAACTTATAATACAGGTTTCCTGACACATGCATTTCCTGAGTGAACCAAACAATATATATAATTTCTTTTTAAAAATAGAGAAACAATTGACAGTCAAAGTAAATAATTCATGACATCTAAGCAACATAGGCCTCTTTTTAAACCAAGAAAATTTTAGAACAGCTTCGAAAGGAAAAATTAAAGCTATGCTATAAAGTACAGAAATTTGCTACTGTCAATTATACAGTACGTATTTTGAAAAAAAAAAAAAAAAGTGTGAAGCTGGCCAAAAAAGCTCAACTCAATCCCAGAAAGGTCAGGTTGTGTATTTGCCATGAAGCACAGTGGGTTAGCAGCAAAGCTGGATGTAGTGCACTGGCCTTTTCTGGTGGATACAGGGGGAAAGGAAGGGTAGGGAGGGGAGAGCGGAGAGGGACTACTAACTAGCGCCCACCGCAGCGTGAGCAGTCCTCACGCAAGCAGCGCACCCTCAGCTCTACGAGTCCGGTCCAGTCCCAGCTCAAGCTCTCCCCTAACAGACTGCCAATTGTGACAAGTTGCACAAGGATGCTAGGACACAGGCACACATCCCTTGGGTACCAGGCTTCAACTTTGTTCCCCGTGTGGCCTAGATGAGTATTTGCACCCAGCTCCTTGCAGCAGGGTAAAGGCAAGCCCGTGGCTCCCATGCGCCCAAGCGTGCCAGTCTGCAATGGGCCAGAAGAAAGGCAGAACACCCGGCTGACGAGCCTGTCACAAGGTGTGACCTTGGCCGATTCACAAATTGCTCCCTTCTCCCCACCCATGTGCACGGGCGCATCCGCCTCTCCCCTCACCCCCGCCCCAAACAGCAAGGAACAAAGTGAATCTCGTCTTTCAGGGTTGTTAATGTTTATAACATTGGAAAAACCCTCACAAATGTCACTAATGCTAAATTAAAGAGATGTGTTAGCATGAAGGGAGAAAAAATCCTTAATCTAGACTAAGTTGCATATTCAAAGAGTCTGGTAAATACTCTCCTCATAACCAGATCTTAAGTACAGTCCTACCAAAAAGACATTAAGAAGTCCTTCTTATCTACCTTTCAACATGGTTAAAGCACACCTTTATGCCATCATAATTTGCATTAGCTTTGTTTAAAAAGCATTTTAACTATTCTAAGAACTCAGTATTTTAGATTAAAAAAGGTTTTTCTACCATTTCCATCTCACGTCCCTCTCCATCCAGAACTACTCTACACATCCAATTGCTGGATGAACACACTATGACCATGCTACTCTCTAATCATTCTACGTATTTTCAATAATAAAGATAAATAGAAAAGAGTTAATATACACGTTATATTTTACAACGTTTGCATCCAAGCTGTAAACTAATGTTCTTTGAACTATTTACCCTCCATATACAAAAAGAATGAAACAACTTTCAAATACTGTGGGCATGTGATTCAAAACCATTAAAATGGAAGGCATCGAAGTTCACTCTACACCACCTCCTTCACCTCTTCAGAAGTAGTTATTAACTAAAAAAAAAGGCAGGAGTTCTCCCCCTTCTCCCCCTGTTTCTTCCATTTCCAGACTTTTCTGGATAGAGAGGGATTTAGCTGTTGTAACAAAAACCCAAAAAATTCTTCATCTTAATGCAAACCAGCAAAGCCCAGAGAATACGAAAAACAGTTGGTTTAAAAATCAGAATCGCTTAGCTTATCAGTTTATTGCAGTCCTCGGTAACACATGTGTTAGTCAAGAGGTCCTTGGAAAATGAGTCTGATGTAACCTTGCTCACCAGCCAGCTGATGCGCACAGAACGGACAGGCTGCATGAAAAGTGTGAGTACCATGAGGAAGAGGAATTTGGGACCAATACGCAGTTGTCTTTTCTGAGCACACGTGTCCACACGGGCTGAACGCGTGAGTTGGAGGTCCTGCATCCACATAAAATCCCGCTTCACATCCAAGCCACAGAGGCACGTAGGGGCCGACAGAGCGGCACATGGGACACTCGCGATCTTTGCCGTCTCTCTCCTCTTTGTTTCCCCAGTTGTGATAGCCGTGGACGTGGCCACAGTTCAGATACACCCACGGCTGCTTTTCATCTACAACATCTTTCCTCTTCATGCTGGGAAACGCCAAGGTATTAAACCCCACGGGACACTGGGGCCTCGCCGCGTTTATTTCCTGTCTTAGTGCCTCCAGGTGCTTGACAGTAGGAGTGCGTGAAAGCCCTTCCGCAGTGCGCCACAGCAGCGTTGCTCCACACAGGTCAATGAGAGAGCCATCTTGGAGTTGGTTCGTTTCGTTCTCAACCTTGTCATGGACAAAGAGGAAGAGAGGTGTCACCTAAGGTGACCTGAAGAGTAACGTAAGGCACTTTCATAATACAAATCTGCCCAGAAGATCCAGACAAAAAGTTTCAAGCAGCTCCTGACTGTCCTATACAAGATACCCATAGAGAGCCCGCTGTCAGCTTCTCCCCCCCGGCCTTTTTTCTTTTTTTAAATAAAAAAAAAACTTCTTGACAAGTCTTGTTTAGTCCTCCATCACATTTCAGACTGTTTTCTTCAAACACACCTTTACACGTGGCTTTCCTCTCCTCCAGAAGAGTCAGCTGTCAGCATTCCTAGCTAAACGCATCACTTAAGTGTTCATATAGCATTTATTTTTGCTAAGAGATTCCAAGTCATACTAAAACCAATCACCTCTTGGAAATGTTGCCAATGCTTTGGAAACAAGAGAAAGAGGAAAACTCAGAATGCCAAGGTGGAAATGGATATCCAGGTATATAGGCATGTGTCAGTAAACCAATAATTATTCTTTATTACTCTATTAAAAAAAGGAAAAGTGGGAAAACCTTAAAAGCATAAACTCAAGAGGGAGAAGCAGGAAAACACTCTTTAAAACGTGTGCGTGACTATGACAGTTTGCAGAAGAGCATAGTAGACTGCCAACTCAATTTAGGAGAGCAGTCTAGATCTCCAATTAACTACTAGTTTGCAGATAAATGTCAGTTATTCAGGTTGAGCAAGACACCTTCATGTGTGAACACAGACACACAAAAAGTCAGCGTAACTAATTACAGAGGTGACATCTGCACTGAATGAGGCAGATTCCAGCCTCTGTTTATACCCAAGCTGTACCACTTATGGTTGTACCCATTTTAAACAGGCTGCATAAAACATGGGTCACTCTCACCATTTTCCCCCTCTGCTGAGCTGATCTGGTTTCACGGAGGCTGAACACATTCCCACACACAGATATCTCTCTCCACACCCCTGGCTTGGAGTCTTCTGTAAATCCGTTACGGGGATGCATAACAAGAACTCCATTTGTAGTTAGTCCATCCATTTGCCCATCTGATGTCTTCCACTTCGCAGCTTTCTCCTAAGAGAAATTACATCAATGAAAACTTTTAATTTGGCTGAAGTGGAGCTATGAATTACTTCAAGAATAAGTCTGCATCGAACTTGGAGGAAAAAAGAAAGAGTTCCCTTACCCCAAGAAAGATGTTTTTTGAGGAGTCAAATCCTGCAGCATATATTCTTGCTGTAAAAGGAGGGTTACGTTCACATATGATTCTGCAGGCAAACCTTGATATAGTGCTCTGCACAGACTGTGTATCTGAATTACTCTGACTTCCAGGAACTGTATCTGTCACAACAAAGTCTATAGGACTCTCCGTTGATCGACCAATCTAGAAAGGGATTAAAACAAACAAACAAACAAAAACAAACAACAAACCTGTTTAGAAGTTTGCCTTTGGGTCCAGGAATATTCAAACTCAAAGCATTTAAAAGTGATCAAGAAAAAAATCTGACATTCCAGTCTGAAGCATTCCCCTCCACCAATCTAAATTTAGGTTTCTAATGCCTAATCTGAATTGATGACTTATTCCACCTCCATGTGATCAACGTTACTCTGAAGGCTGAGTACAGCCAACTGAAGGAAGGGGAAACAAAATGATGTAATTAAGTCAATTCTGAGATGATTTCCCATTGAAGGCCTTCTCATCAGAAAGGTTATACTCAGGTCAGCTGGACCAGCTGCAGCAGTGCCAAAACAGCTAGGAAACTGCAGTTAGATGGAAGAAAAGGGGTATTGAGTCACTTTGCATGCTCAGAATATTCTCAACAATGCCTGACTAGGTGGAGGTGTATATGTAGAAAAATCAGATCATGTGAGCTGACTCTCCAGCGCCGGTGGGGCACTGAGAAGCAGCAAATCTGTCAGGAAAGACCACGTACAAGACATTTATGATGGGAAGGGTTACATTAATATGCACAGAACACAAGAGGGATACAACATCTGACTACAACCAGATTTTTCTAGGAGCTGTGCCTTCTTTTCTGGTTGCATAGAAGAATGAGTTTTGCAGTCCCACACAACTCTACTGGGTTTGATAGAACTGCATGGGTTTCACTGCTTTTCCAGTCAACTCATCTTGTCCTTTTCCTTATAAAGCATGAAGAGAAGTTATATCCCTCTCCCAAACATCCATGTAGCCAGGTTTAAAGCCCACTTACACACTACCACCTTTCACTCACTTCCAGAGCTCTCAACAGCTTCTTATAAAATAGCTGGTTATATTGAGACTGATTAACTGCTGGGCAGGAGACCCAAAAGCCTGAGGTGCATTTTGGTGAAGGCTGGATGGAGAGCTTTCATGAGACTGAAACTGCTTTGTCATAATGTATTTTTCTATTGCTTCTTAGGCAGGATAACCCATCAGAACACAGGGATTGCCACTGGCAATTTTAGAGCAGCATACACGCCACAGCATGCCTGAAGAGCGAACACTTAACACAAACAATAGCTTATGCTGCAGTTCGCTCCTTACAGCCCTTTTGCTCTGTTGTAGGTATTTGCAGTGGCGTAGTGGCTTCCTCCACCACTTACCAACACCTCCCACCTCCTCAGATCCTGCAGTGGCGTCACAGCTAAATGCTGTGACAGCAAAACTCCTTGCCATAAATTAGCAACAACAAAAAATCAATGTGAAATCAGTCCGGGAATCAGAAGGAACAAAACACACCAAAAAAACCCCAAAACAAAACCCTTCCTTTTGAGAAAAACAGGAAACAATTATAAGATATGAGCACACACCACAGCTGCAAACGTGTTTGTGGTTCCTTCTCATACATACAGGAACTGCAGCAAAGTTGCTCTGAACTGCCAGCACATCAGAACTGGGCCTCCTCTCTCCACATTTCCCAACGCTTTAGACTTATTTCTAGGTTTGCTTAAAGGAGTTAGGGGTATTTTTCATGTTAGTTGTGTCAAAAGCTTTCCTCTAGTTTCCCATTGTATTTCTTCTACCCTGTCTCCAACTGGCTGATCCCAAATCCCTTTGTAAATGCTAGAAGCAAAGTTCCAAGCGCTTAAAGAGAACAGTGCACTTTATTCTTCATTTTGCAAGGAGGGACTAGGAGACGGGTTACGTGACTTGCAGACCAGCAATCAAAGGCAAAACCATAATCCTCTGCATTAGTCACAAAAAAACAACTTTCACCTCTGACCAAGCCTAAAAGAGATGCAGAGATATGCAGCCTTGTTCACGTGATGGCCTTGGGAATGAATTAAATGTCTCTGAATAGTGAAGTGCAGAAAGTGACACGTGCAAACTTCTGGGTCAAGGGAAAAAACCTGTAGAGAGGATGTCTTGTTAGAAACTACCGAAAGTGAGAATGCATTTATATATCATATTTACTTCACATACCTGGAACATATCTGTGTTGCTGTCATGGGTATATTCAACTACTACCGTCTGGGCCCGAGACAAAGTGTAAGATATGCTGTGTTGGTCCTTATTACTTATTGCCTATGGAAAAAATGCCAAATATTATTGAACCAGTGAACAATAACTCTACTGAATACAGCAGCAAAGCAGACAATATATACAACCAGGCTCTTGTTCTGCCCAATGAATGCATTAAGGCAAATGGTTGTTAGTGACAGACCTGTATTAAACTTCGCAAAAACCAGTCCTGGCCATTAAAAAAAGCTGCAGGACTGATTCAGCAACAGACCAAACTGGTCTCTTCACCGCACACTGCAACAAAATACACGTAACCAAGACATACTATTAGTCATGCTTTGTGTTAAAGCAACGCTGGCCTTAACACAAAAGAACGAAACAACTGACTGCAAAGGCTAAAACCGAATGTAACACCTTGATGGCCTTCTCAGCCTGAACTTCTCCAACAGCAAAGTGAGGACAAAAACTTAAGTACTTCGTTCTAAAAACGGCATCTGAGTTCATACTAACATCAGTGATGATTAATAGGATACATAGACAAAAAACACTAGCACGTAGTGGTGGTAAACAGGGTAAAATGGAGAAACTCAGCACAGGTTGCAGAAGTTGTAGCGAAGTCATCTAGGTTTCAGTTTGTTAGTCTAGATTTTCATTCTGCAACTACCTACTAGCAACTGAACAAACACTCTTCTAAAAGTGCTTCTAAATAGCACTTACTTGAAGACCATAAAGAATTAGCAAAAATAAGTGTTCTTTTCACAGAACTCCTATAGATGTAATTCTATTACAAGAACTTTGGTTAGCAAAATGCTTTTGATTTCAGAATACTTTATGTCATTCCCTGAATTTAGGAATCAATATTCTTAAATGTCAAGGTATTTAGGGGCTCAAACACTTAACACTACTGTATTTAAGGGCCTATCTCAACACTGGAGATCTCTAAACAACCACTAAGCAGTCTCAAATTCCATTTGTTTTTAGTAGAAATGCTCCATTTGTTATTGAACATAATTGCACATACACTCAAAATGCCACAATACAGAAGTATTTCATGGTAACACCTTAGCTATCATACATTAGTTTTGACATGAAATGCAATTCAACTTCAGAACCTAAGCCCTTCCTTTACTGCTTCTTAATGGGAAGTCTGAACTTGATTACGAGCAGTATAAAACATGCCCTGCAAAACCCACCTGTCCTCGTCCCTGGGGAATTCCTACCCATTGGACGGAATAGCAAGTGCACGCAGAGCTTTGGCAAAAGACCATTTCAAAGTCAGCTTCACATGAAACAAAGCTACCCCTAAAGCATGAATGAGTGCAAAACCAGGAAGGCTAGAAGAGATGTCTGTACTGAGTTTGGAAGGAAAACAAAATAGAAAGTGTTTTACATGACTAGCCTGTGCCCTGAACATTTATGTTTCAAAACCAAACGCTTTTTTTTTTCTGGACACAGCAAGGACTGGGCATCAGATTTGTTTTGCTGAACCATTTCTTGCTAACCCTGACAGGTACGAAAAAAAAATTGGATAAATGTGAACCATTCTTTTTGCAGCCAGAACTTCATGCCTTTTACATCATTTCATCTCAGCATAACAGCACTGACTTCACTGAACTCTTTAGACAGCACCAGGAGAAATAAGACTTAACGAGACAAGTCAAGCTTACCTTTGCTGCTTGAGGGGTACAGGCAATATGCACGGTGCTAGGTTTCACCCCATTTGCCTTGGGCCTTTTAAATAAAGCAAACCTACTTTTTCTTCTTCCTCTATCTCCATTTGGGAGAGACCCATTGTACCTATCAAAAAAAGACAGAAAAAGAACAAAGTCCATCTTCCTCCATTACTTAGCTTCTCATAAGATACAGACCCACAAGAACTTTCATACAAAGCACAAAAAGACTTCTTAATTAGTACGGTATTGAAAAAAATTACAGATTTCCAATTAATCACATCTATTTAAATTTGACAAACAATATTGAAACGTGCCCATGTAATTACAGCATATGCACACAAAGCTTGTAGGGCAAGGAATGCTACCCAGATTAATCTCAAAGCTACTATCGACAATCAAGACACTGGTCCCAAACATAAAAACAACTAAGGTTATATGCCTTTCTGTAGCTTTATCTCTACATGGTGTGTTCATACTGTAAATGAAAGAACCTAAATACTCACCAAGCCTGGTGGAGAGCTAATATTTTAGAGAATTGTCGTTAAAAAACCCACACCCTTTTAAGAAATAGACATACTGTTCTCTGAAACTCTGACTTAATCCATCAGAAAACCCTCACCGTCACTTTGAACATGTCAACATAAACAGGCCAGCCAGCAAACTTGCTTTATTAAAGTCTTCTGTTTGCACTTGAATATTATAGTCAGATACCATGTTCTTAAAAAACTCCTTTCATTTTACTTTCATTTACTAGGGAACCTCTCCTTCCACATTATCACATTAGTCATCTGTCTAGGTGCAACCTGGAACCAACTGGGAAACCCTTCACAAATTGGCTGCCTTTGTCATGAAACAGTTACCTGGGAAGAACACAAGAGCAGAAAATAAACTTAAATTTACTCAGCTGTTTAGAGCTCTACCTCCACGCTCACGCTATCACAAAAAAGTACGTGTGCTGCAGTGCAATTTTCCAATATATCACGTTACATATAATGCCTGGTTGGCACTGAAAAAGGTAACCCTCTCTCCACTCCCTCCCTTACATGAGATCAGCTACCAAAGAAAAGCTGATCAACTCACCATTTAGTTGCGCTCTCACTAGATACACTGCAAAAGAGGGAGTTCAAGTGAGAGGTTGTTCCCGGGACTCTCTCTGACAGCAACCTGCATTTTATCTGCTTTAAGCACACCCTGAAATTCTACCTTCATTCTCACTTCGAACCAAGACACAAACACTTACCCTAATACAATCAATTCACCATATTTTACTGGTGCTTTTGATGGATGATTTTCTTGATCAGGAGAAAACATGAGCTTAGCTAATGACTTCTTCTCAAATTTCAGGTCTCTGATCAAGAGTTGTGGCACACTTTTTTCATTATTTCCTGTAAAAACAAAGATAAAATTAAGTGTAAGAGAAAAGACTCAAATCCATCAATTACACAAACCTGCACACCTATCTGATACAGCAGGTACCGTATTTTGTGTTTTCCGTATTTTAGTTTTGCCTGAAATAATTTGAAAAACATACATATAAAATCACATCAATCAAGGTTGAATGTCCTGGAAGAACTATCAGATCACAAAAAACCACAAGTGCATTTAGAAAATTCCAGTATGGCCTTGATAAAACATCCACAGTTGTTTTCCTTCATGCTAGCTTTCAGTATAAATGGTATACAGCTTCATTTAGTATGTTTGGTTCAACTATCAAGAAGCAGAGCCAGACAGGGATTAAATTTAAAGAAAAAAAACCCCAAAGCAAGACCAGTCCATTAGCTAGAAGGGTAGAAGTTTTCACGGAAAGTATCCGATTCAGAGCTTTCCAAGAAATTTCTGGATTTGCAGATGGAAGGAAGTTGTATGACAATTTGATATCGAGTCTACCATACAAGTTCAGGGTGTGCAAAGTGATCTCTCATGTTTAACCAGAGACAGAAGTGAGACAAAGAGCTGTTTGAAAGAGATTCCCTGAGGGAATTCTACGTAATTCTTAATGAGAACAGCCTCTTGAAGTGCAACTTTTGGTCATACTTCTGCTTTGAGGAACAGTTCACACTAGTATTTTTTACAGCTTCTCATTAGTAACATTTCCAGACACCTCTGACCTACCCAACCCATCCCTGACCTTCCTATAGAGAAAGCCTACCCAACAGAGCACTTGCTCGATGAAGAATAAAGCTGATGCTAGCCTGTTTGAGGCTTTCTTTAACAGAAACAAGAATATTCCCTTGGTTCTTCCAAGTAAGTTTTCATACCAACTCAAAAAGCTACTAAGTTTTTTTTTTTAGTACTGATGGTTAACATTCTGCCTTCTGTTCAAATACACATTTTGGCCCACATAACATTTCTTCTATCCTGTCATCACCTTTCATCACGACTACAATGCTGTATCTCCATTTTCTCCTACCTCAACTAGACTCTAGATATTAGCAGAAAAGACGTCATCATGCAGATTTTATCTTCTGCCCTAACAACAGAGAAAAGGATGCGGCAATGCTTGACACCCTGCTCACATTCGTTCAGAAGCTGATGCAAAAATCCCTTTACTGACCTGATCTCTACCCTCTCCCAATCTTCCTTGCTCCTTCACAGAGAAGCTTGGCCTTCAACATCTCTTCTCAGTCTACCAACTTCTTATTCAGCACAGATAGGTTGATCCCCACCTGCAATCAGCTCACAGTGCTATCTGAAAATTCAGTATGCTCCTTCGTTGCCTTCTTACATGCTATCCCACGTGTTTGGGAGGGCTTCACACAAATACATGCAAAGACATCTTGCTGTCCTCCAGACTTTTGCTGTGATGCCTGCAGAGTACAACCAGGAGGCTAAACTGAAACTTTTTTATCCCTTTCATTTCTCATTATTTTCCAAATCTCCTCCTCTTTGCTCTCAAGTCTGGGTAGTGTGGATTTCATAGTGCTTGGAATAATAAGTTAACTGAAGACTGTCTTTGTGGTTAGCACACGTGTAACATTATCACAACGGTATCCTGACCCACTGCTAGATGTGTGAGCACATTGTAATAAACCTGATCTGCACAACTCTACTGTGAAGTGTCTGCGTCCCGTCTACACAACGGTTACACCAATATATTTTTGTTGCATAGGTAGTAGCATACGTTTTCACTAGGCAGCTATCCTGGTTCAAGCCTTATGGTATCCATCATTTAGCTGGTGCAGAAAGTGCCGTATACTGATCCAACGGTCCCCATTTGACACACAGGAATAGCAACAGCAGCACAGGAAAGAGCAAAGCAGTATAGTTTGCTCAAAAGCATTTCTAGATTGCTGACCCATGTGTAGCAGTAAGTTAACTGGGATGGTGAGGGTACTTACTGCTGTAGGTGGGGCCCAAGGTTTTGCCTTTAGAATTCTAAAATGAAGAATTTAAAGCAAACTTATCATATGAAAATGTGACCTTAAACTCCTACCATGCCAGTAGCCATAACGCATCGAAGTGAAGATTGTTGCATTTGATAAACAGAGCCCCACAACATTAACTGTGTTCACAATTTTCATGTTTGCTATGGCCATGTGGGGCCTTCCTTGCCTCCTGGCATACAGCCACCCCTGGAGCACCACACCAGCAATTCTCTGAAACCATGTGCCTTTGAAGACACCGCAGGGGTGGTTTACTGACATTAATACTCAACTATCTAGCTCTTAGTGCTTAACAGCACTTGTTTCTCTAGCCACATCTCCTTTCTGAAGTATTTCTACTTAAGTGAGTGTAAATCTGAAGTATTTACCTGCGTATAGATATAAGGATATAAATATACCTAATCAACTTCAGCATTTTTTGTTTTGCTTTATTTTAAAATCTTCTTGCATTATAGTTGATTATATATTGTCTTCTAAAAACGGCTCCTAATGTTTTAATCTCCTCCCCAAATGATTAACCTATTTCGTACTTGAATATTGATCTCCTCAGCACTCTCTCCCCTGCACCTCAGTCTTCTCCACATACAATTCATTTCATCTTGGCCATTGCATTTCACATGCAATGCTTCACATTTTATTGGTAGAATACATAACGGTTGTCCTTTGAATTGGCATTTAACAACTCGGAAGAAATACTGCTATGAAATCTGTAGCACTGCCCATTAGGAAATAGCACAGGACTAGTAAATACCATGACAGGGTAAAAAAATACCATGACAGGATTTGAATAGCATCCACCCAACACTATGGTGTTTGACAAAGAGCTAATCCATTCACTTAGAGAAGGTGGGAAGGCAAGCATTAAAAATAACTAACTTTTGCCATTAGTACAAGATAAGGTTTGGCATAACTTCTCTTCTATTCACCCCAAGTGAACAATTTCATGGGAAGCTAAAAAAATGCATCTCCCAGTCACAGAGTCAGGTTCTGAGTCTCATTAAAAGTAATTACACATGTACAGTTAAAGGAGACTCTAAAGAATTACCTGAACAGGTGACGAGTAACCTCCTCTTAGGAGATAACTGAGCAGAAACCATAAAAGGGGCCAGCAGTTCCAAGTGACAAACTTCAGCAATGCAAGAAGTTAACTAGAACATCTTAATACAAGGAAAAGTGTCCAACATCTAATGATCAGCTCCCCCTTAATACATTTTTTGTTTCACATTTAAAGAAATCCAGCCAAGTTTATTTTGGGACCAGCGCGTATGATGGAAACCCACTTCTTATTTGACTTAAGGAAGGTTCAAGAGTTAGCAATCTAGAACTACCATTAGTAAAACAACTTGTTCCTACATTATCAAAGGCATGGCTTGAATGTTTGAACGCAATTCTTTTAAATATGTCTCAGAACCTTTATGAGCTGCACACATCACTTTCACAGCTACTAACAGCCAGTAACTTCAACTCAAGCATATACAAAATTAAGAGCCCCTAAAAAAAAATCAGCGCAACATACATGCTACTTTTCACCCGGTATGATCTGCCTGATGCACTGTACCCAAAAGGAAGACTCATTTCATTCCCAGAAATAATAAAGATTAATTATATTCTCCCAGTGAGGTCCCAAAGACCAGTCCAAGTGAAATTTGATGTCTGCAAATAAAATTCAAGTGTTCTCCCACTGGAGAAGAGTCTAATAGGCCATGGGATAACACCGCCACTCCTGAAACAGAGCAGGCTTACAGATCATTTAAGGCTGGATAAAGCATTTAAGAACTTACAGGAGGGAATGCTCTTGAGTTGAGAGGAAGGATCCACTAATTTATATAATGAGCCTTCTCTTGTAGAATAACCTGTCCAGTTTTTATTTCTAGAATACTACAAGAAACCTCTTAAAAGTGTTAGGAAAGGCTAATTAAATATGTTAAGATGACAACTTGGCCCTGTAGTGCCAGTATATAACTAAGCAACTGACTGCTTGAGCAAAACGTGCAAGTTAGCTTTTTACCATGACCGTTAATTTTACAGCATCGTCTCCGGCCACCGGTGGAGCAGGCTTCATTGAAGTAGGCTCTGAACAACCAACTGTTCCCAAAACTGCTCCAAGACCCTTCCAGCTGATGAGGAATAAGGTGTTAGTTGTAAGATTCCACCTCATCCTACGTTCTTCCAAAATCATAGAAGTGGTAGCAGCAAATTTTCACCTCAAGATCTCTGTTTCTGCTACAGAAAAGAAACCAAAGCCTGAAAATCCTTGCCTGTGCACAGTCCTGTATTATATAATTAGAGAGATTTGGGGAGTAAAGCAACTTGCACACAGAGAAAACAGTTTCGGAAAGGCATTGCTTGATTGGGAAAGAGGTGAGCACAACTATTTGCAGCTAGCACAAAAACAGGTACCAGTTAGCGCCTTTTAGTCTCAAAAATAGGAAACTGGAACAGGAAGAACTCATGAACAAGTCATACATTTTTATTCTTAACACTGGTTCCTCTGGAGCTGGGAGAAAGCTCATGGAAGGTAACTTGCACAATATTGTCACGTGCAACTGTTTTGAGGGATTGGAAAGAGATGACATCTAAACTGAAAAAGTATTTTAAATTTGTTTAGGAATAGAAATCCAGTTTCTCACTACTTCTTGTTCAATATTCACTTGAGTCACAGAAGGCAAAGTTTGCTATGGCAGAAAGCAAGCCACAGATTTCTGATTATTCAAGTAGAAGAAAAGCCGTATCATCGTATTCTTTCCTGTCACATTCAAACACTAGTCTCTGAATCTGGAGGTCGACTATTCTCTGGGAAGACGTAGCAAACTGTGCTTCAGAGTAGAGTTTAAGAGTCTGCCTACTTTCACTGAACATGCCATTTTCAGCAGGGGACCTGGAGATATTACGAATTTTGGCTGGTTTTTAACTACCAGCTCTAGCTTACCAGCCATCCTCAATCATTCAGCTGCCTTTTCTGATCACGAGACTCATACACAACTGGTCTTCGGTGGCTTCTACAGAAAGCCTTCAGATCTTGTTTGCACTGAGGCACAGCACCTTGTGAATAAGCTCACTATTTAGTAGACCAAGTACAGCTTTTGGAATTGCAGCAAGAATAGCAGTATCTTAATGGTTAAAATGGAGCAGGGGGAGGGGAGAACATAAATTCAATGAGCCCAAGCAGAGATTCATTAAACACTGGGCTGTGAGCTAAAAATACTAGAATAAAAGTCTCTTTGTAATAAATTACCATCATTTTCGAAACACAGAGCCAGCATTATAGGCTGCTAGCAACTGTAGCTGGTGCCAGACTAGCCCTTTTCTAAAATACTGCATAAAAAACCACTTTCACAGTATAAAAAGAAGTCCTCTGTCAATGAGTATATTAAAATAAAAATATGCTGATTCAGATGCCAAAATTGGATTCCCCCCCCCATTTTTATAATATTATCTTTTTTATGTTCTATATCTACATATTCTAAGGTTTGGAATTTTTTTGCTTTTAGAAATAAAGCACAAGACAGCTTGTCAACTGATGTTTTTATTGTTCTACAATTCGCTATTTGTAGTTCTCCATTTACTATCTTTGCAATTTTCATACCTAGCTCTTCCCTCAGCAATTCTGTGTTAAATCGGGGGGATATGGACAAAATATAACCCAGCCCTTCTGACAAGTATGCAGTGACAGGACAAGAGGCAATAAACAAGCTGCAACACAGAAAATCCTGATTAGCTCTTAGGGAAAAAAACAATCCAGAGAGGCTGTGGGATCTCCATCTTTGGAGATATTCAAACCTCGGCTGCATGTGGCCCTGAACAACATGATTTAAGGCAGTCCAGTCCCGCTTTGAACAAGGGGACTGGACCAGACAACCTCCCAACCTGAATTATTCTAGGAATACAATAATTTTAGGAAGTCCACCACAATTTTATCAAGCAACTGAAATACGCACCTTAGGTGGACTTTTGATCAGTTAGACAAATTATGAGCAACTCCATTACCAATGAAACAAAATTTTATCCTTATCCTCCTGAGACTGACACATTACTCTCTATAGGCTTTATTTGGATTTAAAACCCCATACTGCTCTTCAAACAATTCTGCAGTTACCTGACAAAACACAAGCAGGACCCAAGTTTGCCAACATCCATTTACACATTTCAGCTCTTTAGCACTCCAATTTCCACTAGGCAATCTTGTGGCTGCAAGATCACAAACCAAACTCTTCTGAATGCGCACACAGTAATTCAGTGCTGCATATTCTCTTCTATGGATACGTCTCATCCCTTCAATGGCAAAATTTTGACTTCCAGATTTAAAGGACCAGAATATCAAAGTTAAAGTCACTGTGAGACACAAAGGATCTGTGCAGAATACTAGTGTCTCAAGATGAAGATATTTGCAAGCATGGCGGAAGGAAAAAGCAGTAAGTAATGAGACAGAAGTTAAAAAAAAAAACAAACCAACAACCAAAGTAACTCCCTGCAGGCTGCCTTCTTGTTTGATTATGAGTCCCCATCAAGTCCAGGTTGCCAGATTTCACAAACAAGATCAATGATGTTACTGCTGATCTACACTGGTGCAAGCAACAAGGAGTCAGCTCCTTGCACCACTATGTTTCTGAAACCTGAGACAAAGATTGAGAAATCACTTTCTTCTACATGATGGCCAAATTGCCACTGGAAAGTTATTCTCCTTTAACTGTTTGTCCTAGCAATCTTTTTGGAAGCTTTTATTAAAATAGTTTTTACTGAGGGGATCACCTGGGTAAAAGAGCATGCAGAAGAGCATGTGTTTTATCAACCATAGTTTTCATACCTCCCCAGTTTCCAGTTAAAAACAAGCTCACATTTCCTTCACACACATACCTGGAACTTTAAGTTCAGCAGGTTTTATATTCCACTTTCAAGATGAGCCAGATTCTGTGTACAACTTGCATCCCTTACTACAGGATGCACAGGAAAGGTATAGTGATGCAGCTGTTACGTATTCAAATTGCATTGTCACTTTAGATCAGTAGCCCTACTTTACCTTTCTAAGGAAGGATAATTAATTTTCTCCTTCTAGAAAAGGGAGTTTTTCAGCACAAAGAAAGAGTAAGCCTTGGGACTGTGGAAAATCAGTCCAGCCTTCTGCTTTTGTATGGCTTTTTCTTTCCTTAGTCTATACTGTTTGTCTTTTCTTTTATAACCTCTGAATAAGCTTAGTCATCCACTACACATACGAGAGTGTCTTTTGATATGAAAGCATTGAAAATAAGACAACAAGGCCAAGCTCTGAAATGAGCCAGCAGCCTCTCCTGCACAGGATACCAAGCATAAAACAATGCAAACAATTATCTGCTGCTGTGCCTTGAGAACATCTGTAAAATCTCAATAGAGGGGGTTTTCATTCTCATAAACAGAATGAAAGCATCTTTTTTACCACGGACATCTGCCATTAGTAGGCTGGTCATCCTGGAAACAAGTCATGCAAGAGTCACAGCACAGGGAAAAAAACATTCAAAGGGGCATTAACATGACACACAAGAGCAAACCTACTGCTTTGCATCAAGACTACAGCTAACTTTTTCCAGTCTAAGAAACAGCAGTCTTAGTTGGGTTGGCATCCCTGCTTCAAGTTCTGTTTCAGTCGCAGAAGCGAGTCCAAGCGTCTTTTAGCAATTTTAGGAAAGTCAGGAACAGCGCTGTGAGGACAAGCATCCTTGTTCAATGAACAAGGCAAGTGTTTTAGAACAAGACTTCTATTATAAGCACCTATACAAAAATCTGTACTTTATGACAGTAGTCAAAAATAGCATTCCTGTTCAGAAGACGGAAAAAAACATCTAAGCACAGAGGCCTGATTTCAATCGAACCCTGCTAACTTCAGTTCTGTTATTCTGAACTGCTCTTGATGGGATGAGAATGTGGCTGGCCGTATTAAACCTGGAAGATTTATGTAACAATCCACTCTAACAGGCTGACAAAAATCATTTCTGAAAATATTCGCCTGGAAAAAAAAAATCCAGCATTTTTTTCAGTTACGAAAAGTAACAGCTGATCCTCCCCTGAGGAAACCACGATAGCCTCCTACAGGTTATAAATGATGTAATTCAGAATGCGTGTGGGAAGCTGAAAACATTTGTCTTTTAGCACAAGGTGTCTATTTTAAAGCTGTCACTGCAATTTTATCTATAACCTTAATTAGCTGAGACAAAGCTCTTCACCAGCTAAACTGCTACATGTACACATGGTCTACACCCCCTTACCACCCATGTCCACCACGTCAGCTTTCGGATATACCAGTGACAAAGCACACAACCTCGCACAAGGCAAAGCTCCTCTGTCGACCGTCCCAGCAGCACAAGGGCCAAACACCACAGGTTGTACTTGCCCAATCAGCTGAGCTACCTGTGAAAGTTATTCACACAAGCTACTTAAGAAGATTAATTTCTACAAAAGCTTTCTACATAAGCTTTTGGCTGTACTTGCACTTTGGTTGTTACTACAAGCTCTGTATGTTCTGTTAAAAAGGGATAGTTTTGGTTTCATACTCAGATTATCAAATGAAGATTATTAATATAAACTGTAACGTATGAAGCCATAGAACAACACAATAGAGGACAGGACAACGTTATCTGTTCATTAGCCATAGCACTACCTATTCGTATCCTACCTATTTGAGTGCCTTGCGAAAGTAGAAGCAGGAAAGCAAAAATCTTTGTACAACACTGGCACAATGTGGCAAAAGTACAGTTCTGATACAGAGAACTGCAGTCAGGATCCTTTAAAATTATCCTGTTTACTGCCTTCAGACAAATTACACAGTATTACCTTAAAAATAAGCAGTCCCAACTTTCATTGCAAGTTGGTGACAGAAGCACAACTTCCATATACAGAGTAAGAGTTTATACCGAAACAGAGGCATTTTATTTTTAAAACAGCCATTACACAAATAGATGGAGCTTTTTATGCTTTGATGACTGAACCCAGGGAGATCTACTGTCTGATGTACCTGAACTAGAACACACAGCCAAGGACCCTGTGCTTGCAGAAAACCACAATGACTTCTTGTTCTACAGACCTGAAAGTTACCGTTTTGCTTTTTATGAGCCTCTGACTTCCTCATGAGGCAGTTTATGTACCAAAATATGAGCTGAATAGGTGTTTGTATCACAGTAAAGCCTTTTCACATAGCATACTGTATCATCTTGCAAAAATAGGAGTTACAATTACATTTAAAGCCTTTGTTTGGTTTAGACAACACAAATATTTAACAGCTCTGTGAGAAATTCCCCTTGGTATGATTTTATTAGATAACACTGACAGTTTCAAGGCATCTTGCTCTGCACCCTAAAAATGAGAAGCAACTGACACTTCTTAAGAAGGAGCATTTATTATACTACGCACTTTGAATGTCTCTTCCTATCTGAGGTGGAAGGGCAGCCTGCAGACACACTGCCTGTTCTCAGATTTCCTTTCCACCACGTCGCTGAACTATCCTTCAAGTTCTCACTGAAAAGCACTGCAACCGAGGAGGCTTCTAGAAGAGAGACTGAAACAATACAACACTAGAAGGGAAAAGCAATGGCATGCAGAGCACTTACCAGTATTTTTGTCCTTTCAGTATTTCTGCACAGGAGAGAAGAAAAAACCCACCCCCTTCAGTCTTGTTCAAAACCAGCCGAAATCCACCAACTCCTTTAAACCCCCAGCAGCTGTCAGACTGAGTGCCTCTGCTCTCTGTGCTTTTACTTAAGCCGTGGGTAGCGCCTTCTGACTAAAGAGGGGCTGGCTCTGCCGTGCGTAAGCTAGGTAAACACCACCGCGCCACGCACCATTGGCTGGAGTCAGAGCCTGCATCCTGCTCGCCGCTCCAGAAATTCATCTATCTCTGGCCCCAAAAAGGAAAAAAGGAAGCGGAGGGTGTGTTGAGAACGATCCTGCAGCCCAATTCCCTGGCAGCTCTGTGGATGAGGTTCTCGGAGAAACACTGATCTATTTCCTTCTCTGCTTCTCTTACATAACTGTACCCATGCATGCTATACCTTCTTACTTCTTTCCTTTTTTTTTTTTTAAAAAAAAAATCAACAATTATTAGCCCAGCTAGCTAGCTTTCCTCACCTCCCACACAAAGTGATTTCTTAATACAGTGAGAATTAAACCGGCAGAAACTCTTCAGGCATTGCTATCCCCATTTTCACTAATGCTGGGCACACGACACACCTGCAGACACCACCTGCGATACTGAACTCCCACGGCCAACGATGCTGTAACAGCTCATTCCTGTAGGATGCACGTTTAGAAAGGCAAATCCGCACGTGCCAGACCAGGCTCTGAGCTCATTTCTTATTCCACTAACATCACAATCACTGCATCAAGCCAGTGGGTGGGATCATTTAAATGTCTGAGCCATAAAACGGTGATCAAGTTACCACAGCTTCCAAGTTACCGCCTCTTAGAACTGATCATGCAAATACTCCAAGGCGACTGCAAGAACGATACGACGCAGTAGCTTAACCTTTACATCAAGTTTTACATCACAGCTGCAGTGGGCCAAGAAGGTGCACATGGGTTACCCTGGCTCAAGCGATGTGTACTCAGGCTAACATTTGACATCTCTGAGTTCTACAGGTGACTATTGCTCTGGTTTCTGCTGCTCCTTCCTTGGCTTGCCACCTCGATTTTGCAAGCACAACTTTATGGACTGTTTTCCCTGATTTGTCCATGTTTTTGTAAGTTGGTTTACCCGCTCAGTTGTTTTTCAGCTGGATTCTCTTTCCAGTTCAGCTCACTGCGTGGCCATGCAGTTGGGCAGGCGCATTACTCGGCAGCACTCAAAAGCTAAGCACTGTCGAACGAGCTTTTTGTTCATAATGCCATAACACAGCATAAGTTGCAACTCCACGTAAGTCAGCTTCACTGCTGAGAACAAGGTGAATGCATATCTGTTTTCTCTCTCCCTGATCTGTACTCCAGAGCCAACCTTCCTCCAAGTAATACCTTAAGGCTCTCCTGTTACAGGATCTTGTCACCTACTTGAAAAACTCAACTGCAGAACACCTTGTTGTAAGATATTCTGGATAATAAAACTCTGCATAGGCTCAAAGACACTTTTTTTTTTCCTTGTATCATAGATTACTAAGCACAAAGATACCACTTCACTCCACAGAAGTGACTGAGCCACAACTGCTGAACACTGAGAAGTGCTTGGAGAAACATCGATGTACAGGTCGTTCCTTGTTCCCACTCTTCTTCTGGCCACCAAAAAGGACATACTACTGAATACTGACCTGAGATGGTATGGTCATTATCACAGCTGTCAGATTAGTAAACTGGTAAAGAGCTGAGGGAAAAAAACAAAACACAACACATAAACCCCAACTATCTTAACCCAAATCATTTTGCTAATCTGTTTGTGGGTTTATTCTGCAAACCCACTACACCAATGCAAGCGAGGGGACAGGAACCTTCTGAATCAATCTCATCAGTAAAGCCAGAGACTCATCAAGCCACATCTTGAGACTAAAGTTGAGCCTTCCTCCCTGCCAAAAATCAATGGCCTCACTCTACTGGCACACGAACCACTTTTCCACTGGTAACTAGCAGAACCTGAAAACGGCACCGTTCACTGTGGTGGAAGAGTCGCCCAATCCCACCTCCCCCATCACCTTCAAGTGTTTTATATTTCGTCCTGGCCTATACAAGGTCAGCAGCTTTAATACTTTTTTTTAATTTTAATTAGGACTAAGGGGGGGTTTAAAAAACAAAACAACAAAAAAACCAACACCATCAGGACTGTATTAGTATCACTCAACACACAGACATGGCAACAAGAATACAAAAGGTGCTATGTATTCAGAAATTTAACTACAAGGTGCTCTGTATTCAGGTATTTAACTGTAGTGATAAGTTACACTGGTATGACCACTGCCAGGTTGCATTACGTTTCTCACACAAGCCCTAACACTCGAGTTGCACTGTTTCAAAAGCGTTCAGTCTGAAAAGCAGAACTTAAGACTAAGTTGCTTCTAGAGCTCCTCTATTTTCTCATTTTGCAGATGCCACTGTCAGAGTCCAGGTTAATAAGCCTGTGGATTACTTTATGCTGCAGACACAGAAGAAGTCACAGAGTGAGCAACTGCAGGTGGATATGCCTTCTACTGCCCAGCCCAGCCTGCCACAGATAACAATTCTTATCGCTCCATCCCACCTGCCTTCATGTCAGTATTCCGGAGCAGTGTCTTCTGCTATCGCACGAATGCACCACAGAATCCCCTTTTTATAGCAAATCATGCTCCATCTTAAAGCAGGGTGTTTTGGGGTTTATTTTGCTCCTAGGCACATTGCTACACGGCTGCCTCTGAACCTCACCCTACTGAGTTCAAAACACTTTGTTTCCCTGCCCGTGTTTACTCACAGCCATGCTCTCCTCATCTGTTCTTGTGTCAACATTGTCCCTCACTTTTATTAAGAGGAGGGTTTAATGATTTCCACTCCACGCAAGACCCATGCTCTGCCTTAAGGACTGGAAGCAAATGCCTCAAGCGAGCTGTCGCTAGGCAAGCTATCTGACTTTCCCTGGAGCAGAGATGCTGCCGACCATGCCAGACTGAAACAATGAAATCTGCAGCCCAAGATATCCCTGCTAATTTCATGAAGTGATGCTTAACTGCAGGGGAGGTTCTTTCCTTGAAGTTGTTAAAGAAATAAAGGGCTGTATCGTCATGTCCTTCTATCTGACTCACAAGCAGATGCTGTACAGTTTGATATAATTACGTGATTTCACATGACATTCAAAATGAGCTTGGAAGAGGAACACATTTCTAGCTGTATCAGTTAAAAGGACAGCTTTGCCGATACAGGCAAAGGGCAATGCTACGTCCCCTAGCGTGCAGACAGCCAAGAAGCCTGAGTGGCAAACTCTTCATCCTAGACTTAACCTGATGAGTATATTACTGCTAAGTTTCAAGACGGACATTTTAAACACGTCTTTGTTGATAATTTTATTTAACAAAATAGGCAGGGAGTGGAATAAAAACCCCACACAGGATAAGTGCTTGAAATTGCTGCACACAGGGAACAGAGGAAAGGAGACCAAAGGAAACACTGAGAAAAGAGCAAAAACGTGGAAGAATAGAATCTGTAATGGTCCCAAGTGGATGTATATTTGTACACTCAATACTGAAGGCTGAACACGCACTATATGGTACCTTAAACTCTGTCTCCCATGAAGTCAGTGGCTGAACCTTGATCAAAGCCAATGAAACCCAAAAAAGACAAGTATTTCATGTGTTGGAAGGTGCGAACACTGTTAGGGGATTCCCAGCGGTCTACCCCTAGGTGCACAGGGGAAGAAGAAAGGAGGGAAGATTACTGACTTGCCAGCCCCATTAATCTTTCATTATGTTACGTCACATGTAATCTCCGTGCAAGGAGTTCCCATGTTATACAGTTAATAAAGTCATACTACAGTGTTTTAAGGAGATTATGGGGGGGAAAGCAGCCTGAAGCCAAGAACATGCTAATTAGAGTATACAATAGAAATGTTAATCAAATAATCTGCAGGAAGAGGAGGAGGGAAGGAAATGACCTAATCCCCTGCGCTACTGTGTGGTGCCTTGTGGCAAGGAGTAAGAAAATTCTTGTAAGGGCCGAGCAAACAAAGGTCCATTGTTACAGCTACAGCTTTCAGAGAACGCTCTGCTGCATCTCAAGTTGCTGCGACATGAAGGGTAGATGACCACGTCTGGAAGGGGTGGGAGAGGCTAATTAGATTTGCAGGACAGCTGAGTAAAAGAGATCTAAGTACAATCTCAAGTTCTTAAGGCACAGCAAATTCTCCTTCAAAGGGATTTGCCAACTCTAAAATGCCTGTCATCCAACAACCATGGTGATCCCTTAGGCAACTGTGGAGCAATTCATCGCTGAAGCTGCAGTAGCCTAGTTACAGAGAGGGAACAAATCATCACGCTGCAGAGAGGCATTTCCAGTGACACAAGTCATCCTTTGCCATCAGACAAACCTAATGAGCATTTCTTATGAAGTCCTATTCCACACTTAGATCTCTGTAGACCTGCTCTTCAGGTACATCAGGGAGGCCCTTCTTCTACTCAAGGACAGCATATTACCATCAATGCATATCCTATCCTGCAGACTGAAAAACAATTGTCCCTGCGTCTTCGGTTTGATCTTTGCTTTAGTAGGCACACATGGCTTGTAGCACTGTACCAACTCATTACCTTCAACTTCCTATAGGGGAGAGACCCCATTAAGAAAACCTGACACTTGGCTTGCAGAGAGTAGGATTCCTGATCCTTGCACTGAGAACATATTTCATAGTTAACCTTACTATGAGATGAAGGAATTTCAGGCAGGAATAAAGAAATACCTACAGGACAGCAGGACTACTGACTTTTACGTGCTTACGTGTTTGCAAGAAGCTGAGTCAACTCCTTTCCTCATAAGGGACTCCACAGAATCAAAGGATAATTCAGGAGGTCATTTAGTCCAACCTCCTGCTCAAAGCAGGAGTTGGCTTCCCAGATGTCAAGCTGTTACTGCAAGAGACTGGGTGCTTTAAGTATGAAATGGCCTCTCAAGACACGCATTCCCTTGGGAAATAGGAAAGGCATACCTAATACTGGAGAACTGCAGATGACAAGCAGTCTTGCAGACCAGTCTGGAGCTTCGTGTTTGTTCCCAGCCTTCCTATGACTGTTTGATTCAACATTTGCTTAAAATAAAAACAATTGGCCAAAATTACTGCAGAGAGCT